CCTTCCCTTCTTAGAGTTTAACTTTAGGCTTTTTTTCTTAAAGTATCTGCCAGCTGTCTGCAAATTTTAAAACTATAAGGTTTTGGTCCCCAACCCCAGGCCACAGACCAATCTATGGCCTGTTAGGAATCTGGCCACACAGCAGAAGACGAGCATCAGGCAGGCAAGTGAAGCTTCATCTGTATTTACGGTCACTCAATGCCTGAGGTGTGCCTCCTGTCAGACTGGCAACAGCGTTCGATTCTCACAATACAAGCAAAAACCCTACTGTAAACTGCACATGTGAGGGATCTAGGTTGTACACTCCTTACTAGAATCTAAAGTCTGACAATCTGAGGTGGAGATGATACTCTTCCTCCCTCCCAGTCCATGGAAAAAGTGACTTCTATGAAACTGGTCCCTGGTGTCAAAAAGGCTCGGTGCCACTGCTAGAAAGTATATAAAGAGACTATATATTCCAAACTGATTGTCAAAGTTTAAACTCAGATTTGTTCAGTATAATCAAAATATGTATTAGACTTCTAACTTTATATGCTAGTATAAAAATAGAGACATCATATAGCCTTTAACTTTAGGTTTTGACAATCTAAGATACAATAACAACATATTTTTTTAAATGTACAGGGCAAAAAAATACCCAAACAAAAACATGAATACAGCACTAATATAAGCAAAACACTTTCATTATATGAACCTCTACCAGTATTAGAAAACAAAATAAGCAAATAAAAAGCTACCATTTTCCAATGTTCTGAATAAGAAAGCTGACAAAAATAGTATACTTAAGAACAAAAAAATAGCCTTCCTTCCTGTCAATAGTAGCCTTTTATAAAACGTCTGATTATAATGAATCTGTCATAGTCTATTCCTCCTAAAGATACTCTATTTGACTTCCTTGATTTCTATATCTTAGAAAATCTGTACAACACAAAAAAAGTACCTTATATTTTTATCTTATACTTATCAACCACATAAATAATCAGGCATATCAATTACTGGCCTAAGGTCTAAAACTTTTTATTTTTGAGACAGAGTTTCACTTTGTCACCCTTGGTGACAAAGCATCACAGCTTATAGCAACCTCAAACTCTTGGGCTCAAGTGATCCCCTTGTCTCAGCCTCCTAAGTAGCTGGGACTACAGGCGCCAGCCACAGTGCTGGGATATTTTTGGAGATAGAGTCTCAATCTTGCTCAGCTGTCAGCTCAAGCAATCCACCTACCTCGGCCTCCCAGAGTCCTGAGATTATAGGCATGAGCCACCATGCCCGGCCTCCTAAGGTCTAAAAACTTAATTACCAAATATTTGCTAATTATTTATCGTATGGTTAAGTCTGGTAAGAATCACATAGCATATATACTTTTAAGATATGGCCCTTGACTTAGAAGAATTAAGAGTAGAAAAATAAAATGAAAATATATGATACTGCAGAATACAGGAGAGACTAGGTAACAATGCTATAAAAATGCAGAAGAATATACTTTTTTTTTTTTTTGAGACAGAGTCTCACTATATCACCCTTGATATAGTGACGGCCTAGACTGCCATGATGTCATAGCTTACAGCAACCCCCAACTCTTAGGCTTAAGAGATTCTCTTGCCTTCACCTCCCAAGTAGACTGGTACTACAGGCGCTGGCCACAGCACCCAGCTATTTTGTTTTGATTGGAGTTGTCACTGTTGTTTGGCAGGCCCAGTTTGGATTCGAACCTGCCAGCTCTGGTGTATGTGGCTGGTGCCCTAGCCACTAACCTACAGGCGCCAAGCCAGAAGAATATAAATTTGAGGGCTCTTTTGATAGAAAAGTGATTTCATTCTTCAAATATTCTTGCATATAGCTTTGAAAACCTGTCTGTCTGTCTGTCTACCTATCTGAGACAGGGTCTTGCTCTGTTGCCCAGGCTGGAGTGCAGTAGCATGATTACAGCTCACTGCATCTTCCAGCTCCTGGGCTCAAGCAATCCTCCCACCTCAGCCTCCTCAGCTGGGACTACAGGTGCAAGAGCTGGAGGTTGCTGTGAACTGTGAGCCATAGCATTCTACTGAGGGTGACAAAGTGAAACTCTGTGTCCAAAAAAAAAAAATATCCTCTGAAAGGAGGATCACATTTTATTTGCTACATTCTAATGCCCAGAACGGTACTAATACACAGTTAAGAGGTAGGAAGGGATAAACTTGGGGAAGAGATGCAGAGAGGGAAAGACAGAAAGGAAGCAGAAGAAGGAGAGTAAGAAGGGTGGCGCCCATAGCTCAGTGGATGGGGCACCAGCCACAAAACACCCAGGCTGGCAGTTTCGAGCCCAGCCTGGGTCTGTTGGGACAACAACGACAACTGCAACCAGAAAAATAGCTGGACACTGTGGCAGGCACCTGTAGTCCCAGCTACTAGGGAAGCTGAAGTAAGAGAATAGCTTGAGCCCAAGAGTTTGAGGTTGCTGAGAGCTGTGACGCCATGGCACTCTACTGAGGGTGACATAAGTGAAATTCTGTCTTAATAAAAAAAAAAAAAAAGGAAGAGGCCAAGCATAGCAGCTCACACCTGTAATCCCAGCACTGTGGGAGGCCCAGGCAGGTGTATTGCCTGAGCTCATGGATTCAAGACCAGCCTGAGCCAAAGTGAGACATCTTGCCTCTAGTAATAGCCGAGCATTGTGGCGGGTGCCTATAGTCCCAACTATTTGGGGGGCTAAAGTAAGAGAATCGCTTGAGTCCAGGAGTCGGAGGTTGCTGTGAACTATGACACCACAGCACACTATCAAGGACGACAGAGAGACTGTTTCAAAAAAAAAAAGAAGAAGAAGAGAAGAAAAAGAGGAAGTGAGGGAAATTCTCATACATATAATTCAGGTGAGTTCTGGAAAGGTAATAAGTGACTGTCATTCTTTGGACATTTTCCTAACTTCTGTCAAAAGCAGTTCCACAACTACCAGGTCTGTTACATGCTAGCTTGGACAAGAGTAACTTACCTTATCATTAAACAAGATTATAGTTGGTAACACTCTATTTTAAGAGTTAAAACATCTTTATCTGACTACATTTATCTTGAAG